TCTGTGCATAAAGTCAAACAGCCTGACGTTGATTTAAGCTTATCAAAGAAAGATGTAGATGTGACACTACCAGAAACCAGAGCAAAAGTTCAACTCCCAGAAGTTGAGCTAAAAGAATCTTCAGCCCAAGTGGACATTAAAGCTCCTGAAATTGATGTTCAGGCAAGTAATGTTGAAGGATCTCCATCAAAATTTAAAATGCCAACATTTAAATTACCCAAATTTGGAGCTGCTACTTCACAGGTCAGTGTGGAAGTACCTGATGTGGACAAAGACATTACAGTGGATGGAGCAGACTTAAAATTACCACAAACAAAAGCTGAAATCAAACTTCCTGATGTTGAAGTCAAAGAGCCGGTGGGTTCAATTTTAGTATCACCAGTGACAGAGGGTGATGCCAAGTTGAAAAAGCCAAGGTTTTCATTACCCAAATTTTCATTTTCAAAGCAAAGCACAAAAGAACCTGGAGCTGATGTCAGTCTCCCAGACGTTGATGTTTCTCTTCCAGAAGTAAATGTGGATGTCAAACAACCAGAGGTGGAGCTTAAGTCACCAGAAGGTGATGTAGAATTAGATGGACAGGGAAACAAGTTTAAAATGCCAAAGTTTGGCATCTCAATACCAAAAGTGAAAGGGCCTGAAATTGATTTGAGCTTGTCGAAGAAAGATGCTGATGTCACACTCCCAGAAGCCAAAGCTGAAATGAAACCTCTGGATGTTAAAATAAAACAACCGTCTGCCAAAGTGGAAATTAAAGCTTCTGAGATTGAAGTTCAAACAGGTCATGTTGAAGGATCACCATCAAAATTCAAAATGCCAACATTCACATTACCCAAATTTGGAGCAGCTACCCCAAAGGTCAGTGTGGAAGTACCTGATGTGGACAAAGACATTAAAATTGATGGAACAAAGCCTGAAGCACCTACAGTGGGAGCTAAAGTGGATGTCACAGGACCCAGCATTGACACTGAAGGCATGTCGGTAGATGTAAAAGCTAAAGGAAGTGAAGGATCAGGAAGCAAATTTAAAATGCCAAAGTTTGGCATCTCAATGCCCAAAGTTAAAGGACCTGAAATCGATTTGAGCTTGTCGAAGAAAGATGTTGATGTCACACTCCCAGAAGGCAAAGCTGAAATTAAACCTCTGGATGTTAAAATAAAACAACCGTCTGCCAAAGTGGAAATTAAAGCTCCTGAGATTGAAGCTCAAACAGGTAATGTTGAAGGATCACCATCAAAACATAAAATGCCAACATTCACTTTACCCAAATTTGGAACAGCTACTCCAAAGGTCAGTGTGGAAGTACCTGATGTAGACAAAGACATTAAGATTGATGGAGAAAAGATGGAAGTAACTAAAGAAGGGGCTACAGTGGTTGTCACAGCACCCAGCATTGACACTGAAGGCCTGTCTCTAGATGTAAAAGCTAAAGGAGGTGAAATTGAGGGAGCAGGAAGCAAATTTAAAATGCCAAGTTTTGGCATCTCAATGCCCAAAGTTAAAGGACCTGAAATTGATTTAAGTTTATCAAAGAAAGATGCAGATGCCACACTCTCAGAAGCTAAAGCTGAGGTAAAACTGCCAGATGTTCAAATCAAAGAACCTGAAGTTGCCATTTCAGTACCAGATGCACCTACAGTTGAGGCTGAAGCCAAGATGAAACGACCAAACTGGACATTTCCCAAATTTTCATTTTCAAGGACAGGTGGTAAAGCCCCTCAAGTTGATGTTGAACTTGAAAAACCAAAAGTTGATGTTACATCACCTGAAGCCAAAGCAGAAGTCTGTCTACCAGATATTGAAGTCCAAGGACCTTCTGGGTCAATGGAAGAGCCACCTGCTGCAGAACTTGATGCAAACTTGAAAAAGACAAAATTTTCACTTCCCAAATTTTCGTTTTCAAAATCAAGTGTTAAAGAGCCTGAAGTCAGTACTGAACTTCCAAATGTTGATGTTTCTCTTCCGGAAGTAAATGTGGACGTTAAAAAACCAGATGTGGAACTTAAGCCACCAGAAGGTGATGTAGAATTTAATCTGCAAGAAAGCAAGTTTAAGATGCCAAAGTTTGGCATCTCAATACCAAAAGTGAAAGGGCCTGAAATTGATTTAAGCTTATCAAAGAAAGGTGTTGATGTTACACTCCCAGAAGCCGACGTTGAAGTTCAACATACAGATGTTAAAATAAAACAACCGTCTGCTACAGTGGAAATTAAAGCTCCTGAAATTGAAGCTCAGGCAGGAATTGTTGAAGGATCACCTTCAAAACTTAAAATGCCAACATTCACATTACCCAAATTTGGAGCAGCTACTCCAAAGGTCAGTGTGGAAGTACCTGACATGGACAAAGATATCAAAATTGATGGAGCAAAGCTGGAAGTAGCTAAAGAGGGAGCTAAAGTGGATGTCACAGCACCCAGCATCGACACTGAAGGCCTGTCTGTAGATGTAAAAGCTAAGGGAGGTGAACTTGAGGGAGCAGGAAGCAAATTTAAAATGCCAGGTTTTGGCATCTCAATGCCCAAAGTTAAAGGACCTGAAATTGATTTAAGCTTATCAAAGAGGGATACAGATATCAAATTACCAGAGGCCAAAACGGAAGTCAAACTCCCTGATGTTGAACTGAAAGAACCTTCTGCTGAAGTGGAAATCAAAGCTCCTGAGTTCAAGGTTGTGACAAAGGATACAGGAGGATCACCATCAAAATTTAAGATGCCGACGTTCAAATTACCAAAATTTGGGTCTCCTAGTGCCACTGTAGAAATGCCTGATGTGCACGAAGACATCAAAATCGATGGAGCTGACATTAAAATTCCTGAAGAGGTTCTCACAGTTGAAATTGCAGCACCCAGCATTGACACTGAAGGCCCATCAATAGATATGAAAACTATTAGGAAAACTGAACATGAAGGGAAAAGGATCCACCACCAAAGGCTTTACAAAACATGACCAGAAAGATATTGATATTCACCCAACTTCGCCACAAGGTTACGACAAGAGTCCCTGCACAAGAATTAGAACATATTTAAGCTTTCTCATGAAAAGAAACACTGCGCATGTTGCCCTCCCCCCCGTCTTTGTACAAGCACCCAGAACATCCATAAGCTGAAGCGTCGAAATCTCCCATAGACGTCTGGATGAAAGAACCTTCCTGACTTGCCAAGTGGATAATCCTAAAAGGCATACACTCGAGCTTCAAGGTTAGTGTACAAACAGAGATCACAGAGGAATACCATCAAAAATAAGATGCAATCCGACAACTATCACAATTACCAACCCAAAACCTCTGCGTTCTCCTAGTGCCACCTGTAGAAATGCCTCGAGCGGACAAAGACATCAAAAGTTGGATGGACGGCTGACATAAAAATCTCCTGAAGAGTCTCACAGTTGAAATTG